AGAGGAGAGGTCTTTGGAAGGAAGTTAATCATATGAGTAAAGTAGAGCAGGGAGCTAATTTGCTGACCCTTGACCTTTCACCCCTGACATGAGCCTGCCTTTCGACTCCTCAGTTGAGGTCATTTGTACAGAGAAAGAATGAACGATTTGTTTCATATGTGACTGCTTCAGTTTTACAGTGGGATCGCATGACATGAACACCACTGCTACTATATGCTTAATACTGCTTAAGCGAGCTCTGTGGGCCAAAATCTGAATTCTTGTACAATTGTGTGACTTTCATAACTTTGTCTAATTTGATTAACTATAATGCAAACCGCAGACTTCTGTCTGTGCTGCTTTGAGCTGAAGCATACCTTATTATGGTGGTATGCTGGTCACCTGGGGGGCTTGAGTGAAATAATGGTGTGCCTGTATGCAGCTGCAGTACATTTGAATATATATTTCTCTCTTTGAATGGTTCATGATTATACTGTACCAAAATCCTATGCATTGGGCACTGTTGTGCTGTGTGAATGTGTTAGGGACAGTTGGCCAGCTTCTCATTTGGGTTGGGTTTCTATATCTTGGTGCTGGCTGGTGACAGAGGCTGACACTGCATCCCAGTGTGGAGGTCTCGATGCCCATAAAGCGGGAGAGAGAGAGAAACGGGCCTCTCCTAAGCTGATGTTCCACTTGCTGAAATAACATACAAAGCATTCCTTTCAGATTTCTGCAGGCGGGAGAGAGGCAGAGAGGGAGGGATTGACCCGTTTCTGGGAGTTAGGCTATTTCGTTCTACCCCTCTCCTCTCCCCCCTGGAAGGAAGGTGGGGCGGCGTTGTACGACAAACAAACAAGCCAACGGTTTGAACGTCATTCTTCATGTGTGGAGCCATAAAAGGAGGAATTAACATCTGCTGTAGAGAAAGAGGGCCTAGAAACCTGGGTTTGTTGGCATTAGAGACTGTATGTGTGTGTGTGTGTGTGTGTGTGTGTGTGTGTGTGTGTGTGTGTGTGTGTGTGTGTTGGTGTGTGCGCGTGTGCGCATGTGTGTGTGTTTGTCTTTGTCTCTGTCTGTGTTCCTGTGTGTGTGAACTAGTGTCTGCATGTTTCTCAGTTTGTGTGTCAGAGTGCGTGAATGTGTTGTGTACTTGTGTGTCTTTACCTGTATGTCCGTGTCTGAGTTTGCATGTTCATGTCTGTGTTCTGTGTGTGAATGTGTGACAGCAGGATGTTGATAGATGTCATTGTGATTGTCGGAATTCAGAAATTGGACACTGGTGGTCATCGGGTGTCATGATAACATGATAATGACTGTTCATCTCAGCTTTTCATTGAGTGGATTTCTTAGTAACTTACAGACCTGCGTAGCAAGGCAATGAATGCGATTTCCGCCTCACCTGAGTTTAGGAAGTGTAGGAGTTTGGCGTGTCGATGAAGACTTTCAGCCAGCCGTCCTGGTGGACCAGAGAGCGACCGCAAAAATCATTAACAGGGGAAGCTGCAGTTTTCCAGTGTGTAGGAGTTGTGGTGATGAAATGTTCAGTATCAGGGACAGAACTTTCAGTGTGAAGTGTGTAGAAGTGAGTATCTTGTTTCTGTAGGCTGTCTTTGGTGGCCAGCTTTAGCATATTGGCAGGGTAAACTGAATGGACCGCTGAAGCTGGAAGGGGTGAAAGAACTCCTGTGTTCTCCCCTGAAATTCCAACAGCCGCATTGAGGGGGGGAAAAAAGAGACAGAAAAAGCAAAACTTTACTGCAGGCTCTGCTGTGCTCCACCTCCCAATTCAAACGTCACCTCTTTTTTCTTCTTCACGGACGCCCAAGCATTTGAAGCGTTGCTGGAGGAGTGGAGCCGGGCCTAATTTCTGGTGCCCCTGGGGGCGGTATCACTTGAGGTCTTGCCGCAGTTGACCTTTACGTCTGACAGAAACAGGGAAGGGGGGGTTGGGGTGGGGGGGAAGACAGCAGGTCTCCACCAGTCGCCGGTCGCAAAGTGTCGCTTAAGGGCTTTACCCTGCCTGAATGAGACCCACCCCTGTCTGTGCATGCTTCCAGGATCTTAACCGTGTTTCGGTCTGTGCAGCAGCGCTGTGTACACTCACAACTCGGATGACACACAGAATCTTCACAGAATCCTGGGAGGTTATTGGTTCTCAGGTTTTTTTGTTCTGTGAGTGCATAGGGTGCTGTGAGGGTTTCGGCACATCCTGTACAGCGTCCGAAACGGGCCGTCTGTACAGGCTGCATGCAGAACGGTGGTGTCATTAGCATGCTGTGGGTTTGACGAGCGGGATGCTGGGACGTTTGGCTGACCTGCGCGCGTGTGTGTGTGTGTGTGTCCGGTGCAGGTGCCCACCTGAAGGTGTGTCCGCAGGGCTTCACCTGCTGCACGGTGGAGATGGAGGAGAAGCTGAGCCAGCAGAGCCGCTCCGACCTGAAGGCCCCGGTCAGCCAGCTGAGCTCCAACCTGCAGAGCACCTTCACCCAGCGACACCGCCACTTCGACCGTGAGTGACAGCCGCCGTCTCTCACACACACACGCTCACACACACACACACACACACACACACACACACACACACACACACACACACACACACACACACAGCCACAAGCTCGCTCACTCACCCATTAACACACTCACTCATTCACACACTCTCTCTCTCACGCACGCTCTCACACGCACTCTCACACGCTCTCACACGTGCACACACGCACACACACAGCCACACGCTCGCTCACTCACTCATTCACACACGCTCTCTCTCTCACACACACACACGCACTCTCACACACGCTCTCACACACGTGCACACACACACACACACTCTCACACACACACACACACACACACACACACACACACACACACACACACACTCACTCACTCACTCGCTGTCAGTCTAAGGCTATTTTTGCATATGCCAGATATATGCTGTCTTTGCATATACCTCCCGTAAGTCTGAGAGCAGAAGTGAAACTGCACAGAAAAGGGATGCATTTTAAGAATATTAACACACATTTCTTACTCAAACACGTGCACACAGGCATGTAGCCACGCCAGCCGTGAGCTGCACTGCTCTGTGTGCTTACCTGCTCGCTCAGCAGGCCAATCAGCTGTCTCTATGTGGCTCTGTGGGCGTGGCAGACACTCCCGCCTGCCCTCATGGACAGAGTGTAACAGGTGTACATACAGACAGAGAGCCCGCCTCTCTCATCTTCTGTCCTCATTGCAGCGGCGAGACTCAGACCACACACACACACACACACACACACACACACACACACACACACACACACACACACGCAGACTCAGCGTTCCTCCCTTTGGTGTGAGAGAGAGAGAGAGTCTACACGAGATCAGGTTTCCCCTTGCTGAGGGGGGTGGGTTGTGGGAACAGACAATGGGGCTAAGTAACTGAGGTCCTCGCTCCGAATCTCTGGAGGGGAAAAACCTCTTCCACACAGAGGTTTAAGCAACCTTTCCCCGCTCTGATTGTCATGCTGACTGCTGCCCCTGTGCTGACAGGGGGTTGGGGGGGGGTCGGGTTGGAGGTGGGGGGTCCTGTGAACTCAGGTTCTCATCGGTCAGTCCCTTTCTCAAAATCCAGTTTCAAGTCAATGTCAAACTCCATTTCACGGACCTGGCAGGAGAGCTGTAACCCTGCCAATGTTTTTATAACAATTCAAGATGCCTGACTCCCCGGCTGTGGGCGTGTGTTTGAGAGAAGCAGGGAAAGATGGAGAGAGAGGGAGAGAGAGAGAGAGGGTGTGAGCATGTAAATGAGAGTTTGTGTGTGTGTGTGTGTGTGTGTATGTCTGCATGTGCGCTGAAGCCAGATGTGAGCTGGAATGTGACGCGTCGGAATGTGGTGGCCGCCAGCTCCCTCCTCCTCCCTCTCCCTCCCTTTGTCTCTCTTCCTCCCCTCAGGTCCCCCTGTCATCACTCTCCTCCGTCTTTCATCCGTTGTGCGTTAGCTTTTCCTTTCTCCATCCTTCCCTCAGCTGGCTCACTCTTTCTCTCCACCTCCTCCCATGCCCAGAGTCCAGCAATATGCCTGCGTGTGTCAAACGGTCATTATAAACTGCAGCTACGGATCATGGATATGTCAGTCTACAGCCACGTATAAGTTTACAAACACCCTCCTCCATCCTGCTCTGACCGTAAACCACTGGACCACATGCTCACAGATCAAGCTACACACCCCCCCAAAAGTTTACATTAGCCTTCCAAAGTGAGGCGAAGGTACACACATAGCTCCTTAAATTTGCAATAGGAGTCTTCTGTAATGTATATTTAGAGCAGTTGTACCAAACGCACACACAGACACACAAACACACACACCCACGCTATCCACAGGAAGTGGTATGGCACTTCCATCGCCATAGGGCCGGAGGTTGGAGTCAAGGCCAATTTAAGTTGAGGGCCAGAAATAGTTTTTCCCTCAGCCTCTGTTTGCCTCTGCCCGCCCACCCCCCATTCCAGGTTCAGTGACCCCTCCATCTGAGTTGTCTGGAAGTTTGCAGCAAGGATTAAGCCCCCCCTCCCCACATATACCACATTCTCAACAGCAGGGGGGTGGGGTGGGGGGAATCCCAGGAGAAAAGAAAACAGGAGATTAATTGGCACAAATAGGCAGCAATTACTGCCTGGGACGGGGATGGGAAGGCTGGGGGGATGAGGACGCGGCCCACAGCCGCTCCCCGTGGAGACAGCTGATGGGATTCGGCTGCACGTTCTCCCCGCCTGCGGGACAGCGGCCCCTCTGCCCCGGCACGGGGACCTGGAGGGGCGAGGCACGCTTTCTGGGGGGGGGAGAGAGGAGCTGCCCCTGTGTGCTTAACATCCAGCCTCACATTACATTTCATTACATTATTGGCATTTAGCAGACTCTGTTACCAAGAGCGACTCACATCAATTACAGGTTTTTTTTTTTTTAACAATGTTATCCATTTTTATACAGCTGGATATTTACTGAGGCAATTGTGGGTTAAGTACCTTGCCTGAGGTTACAGCAGCAGTGCCCCAGCAGGGAATCGAACCGGCAACCTCTCGGTTAAGAGTCGTGCTCCTTAACCGCTGTGCTACACTGCCTCCCCAGTGCGTCATCCGTTTCGTTCGGCGGGATTCTCCCCGGAGGAATGCAGGCCGAGTGCCACGCCGGCAGCCTCTGGGTTTGGCTGCTGCCCGGCGTGGCCGCCTCTCCCTCTCTCTCTCCCTCTCTCTCCCTCTCCCTCTCTCTTTCCCTCTCTCTCCCTCTCTCTCTCTCTCCCTCTCTCTCCCTCTCCCTCAGTTCCTGCGCCCTGTTGCACCAGATCCCTGCCATCCTGCTCTGGCAGCGGCTCGAACCCGCGGCTCCTCCCAGCCCGGTTCCACCGTGACACTCCCGCCCGCTTCCTGGCCAGCTTATTGGCCCTCCCCCGCCTGCTCCCTCAACCTTTCACACACTTTTTTTTTTGTTAACCGTATTGCCAAACAGTAGGCGGTTTTTAAATTTTTTTTTTTATTTATACACACACAGGGAATCAAAAAGCAGGGCATCTTGTTGCCTCCCCACCACCAATTGGCAGACTCCTGCTCTTCATTATAAAAAACAGTTTTAGTGATGGAGCAAGATGCCTCAGTGTGTCTGTTTTCGCGCTGTGGGATCTGGGCTTTGTCATCATGCAGCGGGCTCTTGAATGCTGTTGCTTTGGCAGCTCCGAGGTTATCAGTTGCGCTTGGAATTCGGTTTGCCTCATGGTTTGGTTTGTGGTCACTCTGAGCTGTGGTCTCTCCTCACAAACAAGTCGAGAGGGACGAAGTTAGTAAAGTATGAGAGAAGCTTCCATGTGGCCAAGCGGGCCGCAGAAAATCCGCTGTTTTGTGTCGATTGCTTTATGGCTCATGGCTCATTGTATAATTTTTATTTGCTTTGACACCCTTTCAGCACATCTTGGCAGAGCGAGTCAAACAGGGAGTGAGTGTTGAGTTCTCCCTGTTGGCCAGTGCAGGCCGGGTTTGCCCAGCATGCCTTGCTGTTAGAAAGTTGCTCCTCCCCTGTGAAGAATTCTTTACAGGACCCCCCCACACACACACACACACACACCACTGACTTTAAACTTGTGGCAGTGGTGACATTCCAAGGGGAACTGAGGAACTTTTTTTTTAATCTCTGTCAATGGAGTGTGGAGCTTGGTGCCCTTTCTTCAGTTTCTGTATGGGTTTGGGGGGATGGGGGTGGGGGTTTGGGGGTGAGTGGGTAGGCACAAGGTAGATAGAAGGACCGCAGTGTTTCCGGTCTCCTTGGTGACACAGCGGGAAGGGGGTGGGGTAAAAAAGCCCTCAACTTAACCCGGCCCCCTTCCCCATTCCACACCCCCCCCTTCCCCATTCTTCTGTTTTGTGTATGTCAGCCTGAAGTGGAAGTGACAGGGTTTGCGGGGTGCTGCACAGACACGCGAGGCAACAGTCCATCTGGGCCTGCAGGGACGTCCCAACGGAGGGCATGAGGGACGGGGCCTTTTCCGGTGCCTTCGGTGCGAGCGCGGGGGAGGGGTGTTAGTCTCCAAATTAACAGGAGTCCGCCATAATCAAAAGTGGAAATACGTTCCTCTGCTGTGCAGAAGTTTCTTTTTTTAGAGTAAGCAACTGAAGACAGTAGGAAGAGTATATAAAAAACAGCACAACTGAGGCTCATGTCTTTGTATTTTTTCCTCCCTGTGCTAGGATGGGTGGAATTCTCATTTTGTTCAGATTATTAAAGTGTGTGTGTGTGTGTGTGTGTGTGTGTGTTGGTGGATGGGGGTAAGGGTGGTGGACGAGGGGGTGTGTATTATCTGGGGGGGGTGAACGACATTCCACAGGATGAAGTAGGTCATTGTTCCCTGTCTGCGCTGAAGAGAGCCTTCAGAAGAAACTGATGAAGTGAAAGCCGTAGAGGGAGAACCGTGGGGACTGGAGGGGGGTACAGGTCCCCCTTTTTTTTTTTTTTTGAGGGGGGCGATGCATAATGCAGTAATCCTATTGAGAATGCCACAGAAGGGACAGGCGGGAGAGAGGCAGGGAGAAAGAGAAGGGAATGGAATGTGACAACAAAAAAATGCCATTGATGGCCGGGTCTGAATCGGCTCGCCGGAGGTCATTACTGCCGATGGGGTCTGGGGGGACCAGGCACCCGTCTCCACCTGCTCAGCCACTCTCCCAGTCTGAAGTAGATCGAAAGAGACACCCCCTCCACCCCCCATCCCCTCTACCCCCTCCCCTTCCCCATCGCAGGCTCTGTTCTGCTCCCCATCAAGCTACTTCCCCTTCCCCGGGTCCGACCCCGAGAGGGGACCGTCCGTAAAACGAGGCCGTTTGAAAAGGAGCGCAGCCCCGTTCTGCGTTCTGTCAGTCTGAGGTGGCGTCACCCCTGCTCCTCTCTCACGCTGCTTCAAACCAACTTTTATTGGCATCAGCAGTGGTTTTTCCAGATTGTTTTACGTGCAGGTGCAGTGCATTGAGAACCCTGCAGTGGGGAGCACTAAATCTTTTACTCCTGAGTGTCATTCTAATGACTCAGTCACACCGCTGCTGCCAAAAAATGTATGGGAACACTACACAGATGCACACACACACACACACACACACACACACACACACACACACACACACACACACACACACACGTACACACAGGAGAACACTGCTTCCTGACTACATCAAGCAGGATGATGTCGTCAAATACATTGACACTGCTGACCAATATAAATGTGCTAAATATTTCTGCATTGCTGCCTGATGTGACTGATCTCTACAGTCCCCAGGGGGCAGTAACGTTTATCTTATCCTTATCCGCCGTTTCCCTCAACTTGGCTGGTGTCCCTCAGTCTCCCAACACCAATTACATACTCTGTAATATCAAACTTTAGAACATGAATTGGCACTTTGTTTAATCACATGAACATTCCGGTTAATATGAGTAACAGCTAATTTGGAGTCAGAGGTTGGGGAGTTTGTGGGCCAAATCTGAAGTCTGGGCTGAGTTTCTGTTGAGTTTCCCTGGTGTAAAGTACCACGTACAGCTTGTCTCCTCTCTCACTGCTCCAGTGCTCTCTGTCTATAACCTGTTACGGTGAACTGCAAACATGTTAAATCTGCAAACAGGCACAATCTCTCACAGTTTCTCTCTAATGACCCCCCTCTCCGCGCAGAGTTTTTCCGGGAGCTGCTGAACAACGCCGAGCGCTCGCTGCACGACATGTTCGTGCGCACCTACGGCCTGATGTACGTGAAGAACGCCGAGCTCTTCAAGCACTTCTTCGCCGAGCTCAAGCGCTACTACACTTCGGGCAGCGCAGCGGTCAACCTGGACGCCATGCTGGCCGACTTCTGGGCGGAGCTGCTGGAGCGCATGTTCCGGCTGGTCAACGTGCAGTACGAGTTCTCCGACGCCTACATGGAGTGCGTCAGCCGCCACACTGAGCAGCTCAAGCCCTTCGGCGACGTGCCGCGCAAGCTCCGCCTCCAGCTGACCCGCGCCTTCGTGGCCGCCCGCACCTTCACCCGCGGCCTCGCCCTCATGCAGGACGTGGTGGCCAAAGTCTCCACGGTGAGGGGGGGGAGAGGGGGTGGAGCGTTTTGGGAAGGGGGTCATGGAGCAGTAGGGATGACGTATGATAGTAGATTTTAAGGGGAGGGGTTGCTGTAGAGACTGGAGAGGGGAAGCGAGAGTGACCATTGGAAAGGAAGCAGGACAATGAACAATGCATGAAAGACAGTTAAAAAATGGACAGTGCATGTGTGTGCTGAAGAAAAGGACAGAAGGTGACAGAAAGTGGTTCAGTATAACAGGCAGGCCTGGTGTGTCTGTTGCACTGAAAAGTGCAGAGGGCTCACAATTTATAGCAGTATGTCAGTACAGTCGTGCTTACGTCTCTCAGCTTGTGTGTGTGAAGTGAACAGCTGCCATTGTGTCTATACACTAACTCACGTACACTAACTCTCACGTGTGCTAACTCATACCCGAGCCCTACCCAGGTATCACACTTGTGCTTCTCTTGTTTGATCAGGTGGTGGGAACTAGCGTTTGGCGCTGGTTTTGGGAGTAATTGCAGGGCCTGTCTCTATGGGTCTGGGGCCCAGTAGAGGGCCCAGTAGAGGGCTCTGTATTAACTCCTGACAGCTGCCCGCGTGTGTGTGTTTCCCTGTCCCTCCCATCTTGCTGCTGTTTTCTCATTGGATCCCGCGCTGTGTTATGAACGCCTGGTTTCGCTCCGTCCCCCCCGCAGGTGAGCGCGTCTCCGGGCTGCGTCCGCGCCGCCATGAAGATGCTCTACTGCCCCTACTGCTCCGGCCAGGTGGCCCTCAAGCCCTGCCAGAACTACTGCCTCAACGTGCTGCGGGGCTGCCTGGCCAACCAGGCCGACCTGGACACCGAGTGGAACAACTTCCTGGGTGAGAGGAAGTGGGGGGCGGGAATGGGGAGAGAACGGGACCAGGCTGCGGTCTGCCTGCCTCAGGGGGAAAATAAGCAACGCAGCTAATTGAACCGACAGGCCCAACTGACAGGGTGAAATGAATTTCCATTTGCATGGAGTCAGTCGGCAGACACTTCTGTCACCCCTATGATTTATGAGGTAAAGGGGCAAGTGAGCGTATATCAAGACAAATTCTGAACATGTTGTTCTTCGTGTACTCCATATTGTTCTTTGTGTTCCTTTTGTACTTGTTCTCTGTAATGAGACCGTCTGCCAGATGACGAAATTTAAATGTAATTTTCCTACAATGTTCTGCAATGATCAGTGCCGTGCTAAAGACAGAGTGTTAAGAGCTGTCAGAAATTGTGTTGAAATTAAGTTTGTGTGTGTGTGTCAGGGGAATAAATGTAAGACGCAAGCTGCAAGTGCACACACATGGCCGTGTTTCCTGAAGTGGTTACCCCTGTGAAGTCAGGATTGTTACTGGGCTCAGTCCTCTCCTCCTAACAGCCCAGTCCACAGAGTAACAGGCCCTCTGAACAAGCCAGTGAGTCTCAGGCCCTTAGTTACAGCTCTCTGTGTAGTTTGGACCTTGGTGTGGCTTCCCCACAGACGCGCTTTATGGCCTTTTTATTGGGACGCCTTGTTAAAAAC